CAGGGTCACTCAGGGGTCACTCAGGGGTCACACAGGGGTCACTCAGGGGTCACAGGGGTCACTCAGGGGTCACACAGGGGTCACTCAGGGGTCACAGGGGTCACTCAGGGGTCACTCCCCACTGACCTGGAAGTGTCGCTTCCCCCAGGTGACAACGACGGGGCCACCGGAGTCACCTGTGGGGACAAACTGGGATGAACGGGGGCAAACTGGGATGGACTGGGAGGAACTGGGACAAACTGGAATGAACTGGGATGGACTGGGAAAAACTGGGACAAACTGGGACAGACTGGGAAAAACTGGGATGGACTGGGACAAACTGGGATGGACTGGGATAAACTGGAACAAACTGGGACAAACTGGGATGGACTGGGACAAACCGGTCCGTACTGGTTTATACCGGTCCATAGTGGTTTATACTGATCCATGCTGGTTTATACTGGTCCCCAGTGGTTTATACCGGTCTGTACTGGTCTGTACTGGTTTGAACTGGTTTATACTGGTTCCCACTGGTGCGTACCGGGCCAGGCGTTGGGGTCCACCTGGGGCTCGTGGCCCCCCGAGCACAGGAACCGGGGGGTGACGACGTCGCTCAGGGCGGTGACGTTGGCGTAGGGCGGGGCCCGGAGGGCGTCGGCCTCGCACGGGGCGCGCTGGACACACGGACGGACGGACGGACGGACAGAGGGACAGGAGCGGTCAGTGGGGGTCAGCAGGGACACACGGACGGACGGACAGAGGGACAGGAGCGGTCAGTGGGGGTCAGCAGGGACACACGGACGGACGGACGGACACACGGACAGAGGGACAGGAGCGGTCAGTGGGGGCCAGCAGGGACACACGGACAGAGGGACAGAGGGACAGGAGCGGTCAGTGGGGGTCAGCAGGGACACACGGACGGACGGACAGACAGACAGACGGACACACGGACAGACAGACAGACGGACAGACAGACACACGGACACACGGACAGACAGACGGACACACGGACAGACACACGGACACACGGACGGACACACGGACACACGGACGGACACACGGACACACAGACACACGGACAGACAGACGGACACACAGACACACGGACAGACGGACAGACAGACGGACACACGGACAGACACACGGACAGACAGACAGACGGACACACAGACACACGGACACACGGACGGACACACGGACACACGGACACACGGACAGACACACGGACAGACAGACTGACGGACACACGGACACACAGACACACGGACAGACGGACACACGGACGGACACACGGACGGACACACGGACGCCGTCCCCACCTGGTCCCCCAGCTTGAGCAGCACCTTCTGCCTCTGCAGCCCCGCGGAGCCGCGCGGGGACAGGAAAAACGCCTCCACGTTCTTGGGGGGCAGCAGCAGCCGGCCTGGGGGGCACGGGGGGGGTCACAGGAGGGTCCCAGGGGTCCCAAGGGGGTTTTAGGGGGGGTCCCAGGGGGTCCCAGGGGTGTTTAGGGGGT